CCGCCGGGATATCACCGGTTGGTACAAGGTCTCAACCCAACGACAGAACTCGGTCGGGGTCAGTGTGTCAGGTCAGTATGCAACCTTCAGCCGAGGGTTACGGTCACGCGTGTAGAGGTTACGTACCCGTATAATCGATTGCGTTTCAAAAAAAAAAATAATAATGGCACACTCATACACCAATAATGAACTCGTTGATATGTTGTTAATTTATGGCGAATGTCTTCAAAATGCTACAGAGGCGTCGCGAGTGTATGCAGCTCGTTCCCTAGACGACATCATCCAAGGCCCCGCAGATTTGTGTACCTGGTCCAGAGAGTCAGGGATACGGGCCGTTCGTTTGGAGGAATTTCGAGGTGGGCACAGTGGGAGGCCTAGACAACCACGAATGGTGCAAGTTGAGGAAGAACTACTGAATCGCGTAGACGAGAATCCCTCAACAAGCACTAGAGACGTGGCTAGAGAAGTGCAAGTATCAAAAACTAAAGTGTGGCAAACGCTGCGTGTTTCACGTCCAACGTATACAAGCCCTCCAACCTGACGATTTTCCAGCAAGAGTGCGGTTTTGTGAGTGGTTGTTGCATCAACATGAAAATAATCCGGACTTTTTGAAGTGCATATTGGTGACAAACGAATCTACGTTCACGCGTAATGGGGTGAATAATTTTCGCAACACTCATGTTTGGTCAGTAGAAAATCCTCACGCTGTCCGTCGGGCACATTTCAACAAACATTTTCGGTGAATGTTTGGGCTGGCATGGTGAACGGTATGCTCATTGGACCATTTATTCTCCCAAATCGATTGGACGGGATGCAATACCTAGACTTTTTACGCAACATTTTGCCTTCCTTGTTAGAAGATGTGCCATTAAGTGTAAGACAATCAATGTGGTTTCTGCACGATGGTGCACCGCCCCATTTTAGACGCGTGAGTTTTTGGATGAATTATTTCCGAATAGGTGAATCGGACGTAATGGACCCGTAGCGTGGCCTCCGCGATCTCCAGACTTAACACCATGTGATTTTTTTCTTTGGGGAGAAATGAAACGCTTAGTGTACAAAACTGAAGTGCATACGGTTGACGAACTTCGTCTCAGAATTGAACAAGCTGGTGCTTTCATTCGGGGGAGGGACTCCATTCTCAAAGCCTGCACCGATGCTTGGCTACGTCGTGCACGCACCTGTGTTTTTGAATCAAACGGCGATAACTTCGAACAATACCTATAAAGTACGTTTACCTAAAAACTGAATACGCGGCAACGCCGTCTTATTTGTTTGGTCTGCAGCACCGCCGGCGTCTGCTCGGTAGCGCATCGGCTGCTTTCATTTTCTGTTGGAGCGGTATGATTTCGGGCAGAGACGTACTTATCCCTTCTCGTCAACTGGAGAGTGAGTACTTTTTCCTTTATTTTTTTTACTTGGTTGCCCTTGTTTCACTACACATTTCCTTTGTTATTTCAAGGGTAGTTGTTTCTGAAAAGGAAAACCCGAACTTTGCGGACACCCTATATATACAGGGTGACTTTGAAGTTGAGTCATTAATTTTCAGATAATGATTGTAGAAGGAAGATAAACCAAAATATGTGTGTAAAAATAAAAAAAAATTAAAAAAAAAATGTTACCTTGTTTTATAAAGTATCCTCCCGACAAGTATTTCAGTGCGGACCTGTGCGCCCAAAAGCATGTCACAAAAACTGTTCGAAATGATTTCCGTTTTGCTCGACGCACAGCTGGGCGCGTCTTAGCCATGTCTCTTTACAAGCACGCAATAAAATCACTGGTTGATTTCTGATCACTGTACTCATTTCCTCAATTCGAGCACGTAATTCTTCGCGTGTATTAACCGGTGTTTTATACACTAGAGTTTTTAGCCAACCCCACAAACAAAAGTCTAAAGGGTTTAAGTCCGGAGACCTTGGCGGCCAAGGTACAAAACCGCCACGGCCGATCCAACGATTATTAAATTGTCTATTTAAAAATTCACGCACATTTCTTGCATAATGGGGTGGTGCCCCATCTTGTAAAAACCACATGTTTTGTCTAATATTTAAAGGCACATCTTCCAGTAAACCAGGTAAATTGTGTTGCAAGAAATCAAAATAATTTTCACCAGTTAAGCGATTTGGTAATTCAAAAGGCCCCACTAAAATTCCATTAACAATTCCCGCCCACAGGTTGATTGGTTCAAATCGCTGTTGAAAATTGGTTTCCCTTATTTCATGGGGATTTTCAATAGCCCAAACGTGAGAATTACGTGAATTAATAATTCCGTTTCTAGTAAAGAGGGCTTCATCACTCACTAAAATTTGATTTAAAAAATTGTCATCATTTTGATGTTTATTTAAAAGCCAATTGCAAAAGTCAACCCTTTGTTCATGATCTTCCGGTTGTAATGCCTGCACTTTTTGTATGTGAAACGGATAGAACTGATTTTCACGTAGAGTTTTCCAAGTTTTATACTGACTAATCGCCAATTGAGTTGAAATTTGTCGGGTGCTTACTGTTGGATCATCACTTACTAATTCTAAAATTTGTTCTTCTAGTTCTATTTGATCGTGTGGTCTTGGAGCACCGGCATGATCTCCTCTGTGAGGTCTTAAGTCACCTGATTCACGAGCTCTTTGCACTACATTAACAAAGGCACGAGGGGTTGGTTGCACTCGATTGGGAAACCGATCCGCATAGATCCGTGATGCCGCGGCAGCATTTTGTAAAGACTCCCCGTAAATAAGAACCATGTCCACAAGTTCAGCATTTTCGTAAACATGTGCCATTTTTGATTTGAGCCTCGCAACAGACACGATTATTCACTTACGCGTTACCGACTACCGACTGATACTGACTGTATACAACTGAAGAAAATAATTGTAAAAAGATCGTTCCAAATTCTTTCGCTTTTTTGTTTCCGATGCGATGAACGGATAAGGCGGATTATATCTGTTGTTGCCAAACACGAGAACATAATATCATTATTGAGACAGGGCGGTACTCAAACTTCCAAAGGGCTATAACTTTGTTACTTTAATTTTACCAGAAAAATGGTAAAGGAAAAAAACATTTCTTTTGATCAGATCTACTCACTGTTAAAATAAATGACTCAACTTCGAAGTCACCCTGTATATATATATATATATATATATATATATATAACTTGGAAAGTACTACTCGGATTTCAATGAAACTTTTATACAATTGTACTACTATGATAAGGATGAAAAAGTCTTGTAGTATATGAAAATCGTTTCAGTGGCAACAGAAAAAAGTCAAAAAAACAAAAAAATCGCTCAAACTGCGTTTTTTAAAATAGGCGGTCGAACGCTGTAGAGGGGTGAGGAAGCAAACATCTCATTTTTTTGTTGTTAGAATACTTATACGCTCACAATCTCGGTAATTCTCCGATCCTATATCATAGATTTCCCGGTACATTTGCCCTTAAAGCTGATAGACCTTGCTTCTGCTCTCTGGGCTCACCTGCGGGTGTACAGGCATTACCGATAGAATGTCTATATGATAGTGTTTGACAGACTTGATCCGTTCATGTTGATCAGAGGGTCTAACTTGTGCTGAAAATGATCATTTATGAACTGGCAACGGCATTACGTGGTAACTGCAGTGGCAGCCTATTCAACGCCATTTTTTATTTCATTTCATACTCGCATGTTGTACTGTTCTTTAAAAATAGTGTTCTTAGGGTGATTCCTCAAATACATTTCTATTCAACACGGTTTTAGTTCTTCGATCGGGGTAGATCCGGCAACCATTCTGCTTGATTCTGAAATTTTGAAGTTTTGACTAGCGGAAGATCCGTAAATTAAACCTAGAATGACTGGGATCCTGGACTAGAATTATACTACCTATTGTACATATAATAAAGCTGCATCTACGGTTTGCAATAAAGCTCTGCGATAGGAGTTACATCAATGCGAGCTGATGTTGTATATACGCCGAAAGGAGCTAAACTCACATTAGAGTATAAGTACGTGCTTAAGAGCAAGTTTATTAGCTGACGGAACGGAATTGATGGGATCAGTGGCAGCTAGTGGTTGTGCAGCATATGGGTTTATATTCTGAATACTGTTGAACCTATTTGGTAAATACAAGAGGCTGTACGTGATGAATCAACATATAGATAACCAGTGCCCTATAAAGTAAGCACATTGTTATAAGTTGCAAGTAATTTAGTAAGTCATCCGATTTCGCATTTGAGATCCAGTAACAAGTCATGGAAGTAACAAACTCATGGTCCATTAGTTATGTAGGAGGATGTCAAGGATATTCAACCACATTGGGTCACAGTCCACAGAAGAACTAATGTATGTCCTAACAGTGTTGTGACTTATACTTTTTTCCTGACCTTTAGATGTCGACGTACTATTTTTCGCATTTCACTTCGATAAGCAATGTAGTCGAAGATTGCATAACAATTAACCGGTGTGTTAGACAACAATGGGTGGATTTTCGCGTTTTTAGGGGATTTTTGGCGCTTTCGGGTCGACGGACGAAGGTGACGTGTCTGGTACATTAAAAGAACGTCAAATCATGTTGCAGGATCGTTCAGACTATTGTAACAGCACACTGTATACAAATTGGTAAATGAAAGGAAAAACAAACAAAGTGTCACCTGGAAGACAGATAAACAAAATATATTGTCAAAAGTGGTACCAACATTGGGGGGATTGATCAGTAATATCAGTGAGCTAAATATGAAGAAAAACCTTCCTTATTTGCTGGTGTTGTTACAAAATAATTATAACTGTAAAAAATTTTTATTTTTACATTTGTACAACTTGCAGCATTTATGTCACAAAGCCCAGGTGGAGAATTTTTCCTAGACCAATAGAAGGCACGCGTGTTTCCATTACCTTTGCGAAGCTTTTTCTGACAGCATTCGCCGTCTATCAAATAAGTTTGAGAATACGACCGTTTGAGCCAATGTAATATGCTCCTAGGTTTATCATATAATTGAACGCTTTGTCAAATAATTAACATTTTTCTTATAGATGAAACTGATAGAGTATGGCGAGAATGTCGCACTCTTTTACTTGCTGTTCATCAAGGAAAATTCCCAGTGAAATAGAATTGAGTGAATTTTCTGTCAAGGAAACGTTTTTCCGAAAAATATTGAAATAGAACAACGCCCTCTTTTTACTATCTTGTTAGCATCGTCGATGTTTTTCGTACTGATGAGTACTAATGAGAGCCGAACTACGACTAGTTGAAAGGACGGTGGATAGAAAACAGTTAATATTGTCAACGTCCTTGACATTAAGCGTTTTCAAATTCTCATTAATTTGATCCTTCGCTAATATATCATACTAATTGCCAGAAATGAAATTACACATGTTGCTGTAGGATTAATTTTCTGTTTGCAAATACATATATACATATACACGTGCATTTGCCAAGTTCATTTATACGAATTCTACTAGTTAATTGCACTCGATACACATAGAACTCTTTAACTGTTTTGTTAATTTTAGGTTGAAAATACGAGGGATTCTTGTCAGATTTGAAATCATGATATTTTCAGTATCATCATAAAATGTCTCATTATCATTTTCCGGGTAATTCTGTTTGTCAATTTGACAATCCTTTTCCGATACGGAGGTGAAGCTGCATGGTAGCAAGGCGCACTGTTGCTGCATTTCACCCGGTTTTCTTAAGCCAGAATTTTGTAATTTTTACTGCCTTTACTTTGGACATTGAGTTACAAATACGATAAAAATACAATAAATACTAGAGTAAAGCAGATGCCCAAAAAGGGACAGTTTACCACAGGGTGCTCTTCCACTTGCCCTATAAGATAAAATCATACAATCTATATTCAAAATTTTGGTATGAATATAAGTTAAATTTTTTTTTTCATTTTCTTGGCTTTAAAATAATCGATAAAATATTAACATTATCCAATCTAGCTGAAAATACATTTATACAGGGTGGCGCATCGAAAACGAAACCGAAACCGATGCATTTCCTGGCAGCTCAGTTCTTTTTTGGAAAAACGCTCAGACCCGTTGATTTTGATTTCGAGGGGGACACAAGTTTGGCAAAAATCACGTTAACACGTGCAGCCCCCTGGTGGGGTTGACATAGATCCTACATTAACAGCCATAATTGAAAATCAGAATGATCGGCGGTACATTGCGAATAGGTTGATGTTCCAATAGGATGGTGCCCCACCACATTACGCATTACGTATCCGAGAATATTTAGATCAGACGTTTCCAGATCGATGGATTAGTAGAAGAGGTGCCATTGAATGGCCCCCAAGATCGCCAGATTTATCATCTTTGGATTTCTTTATGTGGGGTCATTAAAAAAGCAAAATCTATGCTACTCAGCCAACATCATTAGAAGACCTGCGACAAAGAATTGTGCCTTCAAATTACTCCTCAAATGTTGCAAAATGTGCGGCAACGTTTTGAGCAAAATCTTTATTATTGCGTGGAGAGTCATGGTGGCCATTTTCAACATTTACTTGCCTAACGGGTCAGTTCATTCTTCATTTTTAAATTACTTTGCTACCAAATGTATTGATCTTCACTAATGATGACGTGTTAGTTTTATTTAAGCTTTAAATCAATAAATCTTCAAAACTACTGAACTGAAGTAAATTAATTTTATATCATTATAAAGAGAATTGAAGGACCTTTAAAATAAGGTATCACTCGATCCCCCTTTCCATTTAAGATTTTGGGGGTGGTGTCACCCCCGCTTAGGGGGCTGCGCTTAATAACGTGATTTTTTTCCAAGCTTGTGTCCCCCTCGAAAACAAAATCGACGGGTCTGAGCGTTTTTCCAAAAAAAAAACTGAGCTGCCAGTAAATGCGTCCGTTACGTTTTCGATGCGCCACACTGTATATACTTACATCTAAATACATTCTCCTCACATGTTTCTTAAATCTAGATACTTTTAAACGTTTGAGGTGTCTAGGGATGGAGTTGTAGGTTTTGTATATTGTATTATAGTTAAAGCTTCTTTGGTGTACAGACGTTTTATGTGACGAAGCCGACAAACTATCTTTGCAACGGATGTTGACATCATCTCCTGAATTTTGCTTTATTATATAAGTAAGGCGAGTTCTTGGTGGACACAATTATGATAAAAGCATAATGTAACTATGTACCTCGAAATGGTGTTTCATATTCAGCCAATGCAAGGGTTTTAATTTGTGGCATAAAACGTATACATAGGTTCTGAATTCGTTGTATTTGAGTAGAAGTTTCATGGTCTAAGCAAGATTTTAGAAGCTAAATACCTAACACTGTCCAACAAACTCTACTTCATAAATATTTCTCAGAATACTATTATCCCATTTGAGGTATTTTCAAATTAGCGCTTATGCAGCAGCTCTAGTTTGTGACGTTATGCAAAATAACCGCGTTTAGGATGACGATGCATATTAAGTCAGTTTTAATAGTGCACTAAATAATTTTCTCGCAATAGCTACAAGAAAAGTGGCTGTTCAACAATGCAGACGGCTATTGTGGCGAATACAGGGTATAAACGTTATTGAACTGGGTAATATGGGGGTCAAAACATGCCAAAAAGTTCATATGACCGATGGTCCAAACCTCAATAGATTTGGTCTAAATGGCTTTGTAGTTTACAACTTTAAGTGCTTTATATAGACCACAATCACCACAGTCTCACTAATTTTCATAATATTATATATACTAAAACATTCTTAAATTGAGTAATTAACAAATGAAAAAGCATGAAGTTTTTCTAAGTTAAGCCAAAATTTGTAGTCAGTAAATAAGTAAGTTTCTTTGAATCAAATATTTGAAACACACATGACAACAGCGCGTCGGTCATCAGTCTTATCGAACCGGTAATCGATCGCAAACGGTAACAGTGGTTAGTTATCGTTTTGCATAGATAAATTACTTTATCGTTTTGTCGAGCAGAACATCGGGCGTGTTGTTTTGTTTTTGTTCGCGTACGTCGTCGTGTTTATTTACAATGTTCTCGAATCAAGAGTTCGCCGGCATGTTGTTGGTTTACGGTGAAGCTCGTCAGAATTCAAATCTTGAAGCTCAAATGCATCGCGAGAGATTTCGCGAACGGGTACACCCAGGCAGAAGGACATTTCTGCAAGTGTATCAAAGACTTCGAGATATAGGAAGTATTCAGCCCACTAATATTCGCACTCGTGAACGAGTTACTGTAGAGCAGGAGGAATGAATGTTAAATATCGTGGAAATCCATGCAGATAGCACTCGAGAATTAGGCCGCTAAGTAGGACTATCGCATACCGTAGTCCATAGAATCCTACGGGAAAATTTGCTAAATCCCTACCATGTACATCGAGTGCAGGCCTTGTTACCAGAAGACTATTCTCGCAGACTAACATTCTATCAGTGGTTTTTGACACAAAAACATTGAAAATCCGGATTTTCTTAAAAACAGTCTAGCGACGGACGAATGTACTTTTACGCGAGACGGGATATTAAATTTTCATAATACTCACACGTGGGCCCAAGAAAATCCTCATACCATTCGTGAAGGACATTTCCAACAACGTATTAAGATAAATATTTAGGCGTGTATTCTTGACGATCAGGTAATTGGCCCTTTCGAGTTACCCCCAAAGTTGTCACGAGAAGGATACCTTAGCTTTCTAGCCAATAACCTACCAGAACTTTTTGGAACAGACCTCAGACAACATGCCATTACAACGGAGACAGAATTTGTGGTTTCTTCATGACGGGGCACCACCACACATTTTTAGAGGCGTCATTCAGTATTTGAATGAACATTATCCAAATCGCTGGATCGGCCGAAATGCTCCTGATCCTCAAAAATGGCCAGCGTGATCTCCTGACCTAAATCCGATGGTTTTTTGGTATTGGGGAGAGCTTAAATTGATGGTTTATGGGGCTGGTCCAATAACAACTGAAGCACAACTTCGCGAGAAAAAATTGAATGCGGCTGAAAAAATAAATGGACAACTTCGAGGAACTAAAGTAAGAAGAAACTGGGTTGGAAAGTGGAGGACGACATTTTGAACACCTTCTTTAAATACAAAAAAAGTGCAGTGTGAGTTTTAAAAAGAAAAATGTACATATGTATCAAAATTGTGTTCCCTATTTATAAGTTGATTTTTTTAATACGTTCAATAAACTTTCACACACCGGGTGAAGCGCTGAGACAGTTAGTGGTAAGTCCGTTTTTTATAATTGTTTGCATTTTACGAGTACATTATCAAAAAATGAAATAATACCTAAGAGCCAAAAATAACAAACTCCATCTTCATTTACACTGCGTTCCGTCGTAATTTGCGTCTGGCATTACGGCGTTGTCAGATTATATTTTACTCTAAAAAAATGCCGTTTTGACCCATGTTATATGAAATATTTTGCTTCTTTTAACCCCATCTATCACCCATTTGAATGATGACTATCATAACGTTTACACCCTGTATAACTTAACAAAGTATTATAAATCGATCGCGAACGTTAGCTCTTCGTACTTTACCCACTCTGAAGTGAATATTTGCAATCTACAGAAATCACGGATGCCGAAACTGTGTTATTTGTTTGTGGTAATGGTCCAGTGGAAGATTGGCTCTTGAACCTAAGACACCCATGATTTCGCGAGAACCTCGTAATTATAATGGTGATTTTATTGTTTCTATATTAGTTTTGGTGTTCTAGATACCAATCTCACCAAAAGTCTCTGTGGGCGCACGATCCTAGTATCAACGGTTTCCTAGTTGCAGGGTATAGTAAATTCGGAAAATTATGCCTTTACGAAAGACACCAACATGATCTATGATCTCTTCAATCACTTTTTTACATATTTCATGAAAAATCATTCCCAATAAAATTGGCTAGCATTTCAGTACGTTTTTCCTCTTGTCTTTGTGATATCGTCTGGTTTTACAAAAGTAAGTAAACGATAGTTGTGTTCTGTAGCTACAATTGGCATTTGATCATGGTGCAATACGTTGTGAAGATTTGTTGCAATCTGTTTTCTGAAATGATCAATTACTTAACCAACCCAAAGAGACATAATACCGGGTGTTTCAAAGTCGACCCTCACTATTGGGATCTCCGGAAATACTAAGAGATAAGAAGTCGCTTAAATGGAGGCAATTTTCTCGATTTCATTTTTATTCTTTCCCGACTTTATTTATAGAGAGATTTTAAAAGAAATTGCACATTGACATTGCCACTGCTGCTCCTACAGAAGATAATATAATTATACAATGTGGCGTTTCGTCTCTTGCGCTCCAGCATCATCTTATAGACGCCATAGTTATTCCAGGAAAACAGAAGTTCCTAGGTTGGCCTAGAAATTATCAGATAGTCATTTGTTTCGTGTACCAGACCAGACCTCAAATTGAACATAGTAGCAGTGATTGGAAGATTGAGGAGAGAAATAAATCGAGAACTGGGCAATATACAGAGAATAGTCAGACTTTCTCAACAAAATCCAACAAAATAACGGGAATTTTGAACATCTACTATGATATACCTCTACTTGCTTATGATTATAATTGCTGTAGCCATCCATAAAATTTTCATTTTGTATTCAGGTTGTTCTATATGCTTTTATTTTCTTATAATTTTCATCCAATAACCAATTCATGGCCACTGAATTTAGGACTGGGTAGTACATTTAAATGTACAAAATTCCAATATAGCGTCCATATAAAAAACAAAGTGGCTGATGGAAGTCGAAAGAAGAAGAAACCTCAAATTGAAAATTTGACTACCATCTTGTAGAAGAGAATACGTAACAATGATAACCTGTAAATTATTTTGAAATATCATCAGTCAGAAAAAAATAAAAATCTGGGATGGGAAACAATCGACTATCTGATGATTTCAAGGCCTACGTAGGAAATCCTGATTTTTTCGACAATCTATTATCACTGGGTGTTCTTTTTCTATGTTACTCAGTATATTTTGAGCGGATCTTAGACGATGATTTTTCGACACCCCTTCCCTGGCCTGAACATTATAGTAGGCGCACTATCAACTACGTTGCATTCCATTATTATTAATCCAGGACAGACAACACAAACACATTCTTGCCCAGCACTTGGCATTCCTGCGTCTCTATTTTTCTCATTAACACACATCTCTGCCAAATGAATTTTTTCGTTCGGGGTGTACTTATTAAATAAAGTGACCCGCTAGTCTTCATACACCATGGTCAAAAATAGCTTTTTACAATTAGTTACAGTTAGTCAAGCGATTCGAATGAGTATTTATAAGCATCTAGGGTGAATGCGGTAAAAAAAAGGAAGTATGAGTCTTGATAATTATGTATGATGACAGTAGGTGCTTTATTAATAGCTGAATACAGATCATAGTATTAATAAACAATTTAAACGCAAACCGTTAGCGTATGTTACGAAAGTATAGTATTAATGTGCGGTTTTGAATAAAGCATAGCAATAGGGTGATTTTTTTGTTTAGAAAAAAATTGCTTCAAGTAGCTTGACTCTGCACTTTCCACGTCATCAGTTCATTAAGGAATATGTCCAGCACAAGTAATAAAATAATTAGTTACAAACATGTATAAGAGAAAAATTAAACGGATCAAGCCAGTCAAACAGTATCATACAATTAGTCCATAGGCATTATTTCGCTGCTCTACCGGTCATATCATCCATCTGGCAACGTCGCTCCTTCCCCATATCTGTCCACATGACGCGGCCGACGTGGCATCGCGACACTATGGTAGTGATGATAGGACACTTACCCAGACCGGCACACCCGCCGGTTGACCCAGAGAGCATGATCAGTTGATCAGATGAAAAGTTCATCCAAATCCAAGTCGCAGACGGACCAAGGATTAGCTGACAGACATACAGATCAACGGGAATGCGTGATCAAGTTTGTCGTGATGTATTAACGACATATCTGTTTTCATGATTAAGCTCTCTCTCCCAATTATACTACTTTCCTAAATTTTAAAGACGAGCAGTAGTAAGATCAATACCTAAGGTCAGGAGGCCTACCAATTTCTCGGATCTTAGGCCCGTCACTCAAACATCTTGGAGAAAATCATTTATTTGCAAATCTTAGATTTCTTGGGATCGAGTGAGATTCTCCCAGTAAGTTAGTCAGGGTTTAGAAGATCATATAGTACTATAACTGGTCTTCTTAACTTAGTGGACAACACCATCAGGGCCCTTAATAAAAAAATGTGTCGCCTTAATGCTTAGTATCACTGGATTCCTCCAAGGCCTTTGATACATTTGATCACGCACTAATGTGTGCTAAGCTGAAATTTTATGGTTCTGATATAATAATTAGCAGTGCAGTTTTTCAAATCATACCTAACCTACCGGTCTCAGCGCGTCTCAGTTCCTGAAGTTTTGTCAAATGAGCACTTTATCACTTCTGGTGTGTCTCAGGCCCTATGTAACTGCTTTACTTCTTTTACCCCGAGGATCTCCAGAACGCAACTGGAAATTATCGAGGACATGGACTCCATTTGTACCTACTCAGCCAATAACAATCTAACCGTTAATGCTTCTGAGTCTTCTACTATGTTTTGACCAAATCACAGAAGAGATGTAGTCAAAGCTCCAATTTATCTATGTGAAAAACTAATTTTTAAATACAATGTTTATCAACGATCTATCCGTAACACATCTTCATTAACAATACCCCTTCATAGTTCATCACAATGCGTGCGTGTTGTACAATAGCTTAGATAATAGGTGTAAAACAAAAAGACTGCCTCTATATAGTTTTAGAGAATATTTAAAAACTCTTCTGCTTAATGATACTTAAAGGTGTTTTTCTCCAGAATTATACTTTTTTGCTAAGAAGTGTTTAGTTGAGGATCAGTTTCTTGTGCATTTTCCTTTCAATTTATGTGTAGTACAGCTTTACATTTCTATCACCTTATATTTTTTACGCAGTAAATATTTAATTGTAAGAATAGCTTATTTTGTTTTTAATAAAAGGCGGATTATTATATATCATATAAATTGCACGACATTACATTACTTCCTCGCCAGGGACGTGAAAAGTAAAGCAGCGTTATTCTTAGAAAAACTATTGAAGTTCGTCTGTCACAATTCAGGATGGTCATACTAGACGACCCCAAGCTTTTTTTATCTCGTAGCAAGGATACAAGATACAGTGTGGCTAGATTATCCTTGATCTGTATTCAAGAATAGACCGATACCGTACTGATGATTGCCAACAAGCATGAGATGACATCGCATTCGGTTGCTCATGGTCGCAGAGACGAAGAGCAAGCATATTTTGTTCATCTCAATAAATAGCGTTCACAAAATTTTAAGTCTGCGTACTAGGTGCGATATTTCAATACATGTGTATTATTAGCTAATAAAAGATATCTCTATTATTGCATTGTGATAGTTAACAAACGTAATAATACTACAGCTGAAAGCGCATTGGGAATAATGGTCGGTAACAGCTGCGTGCTATTGTTGGTGGAAATGTTTTTATATTTACTTTGGTGTGTGTTGTGTATTTGTATTGCGAGTGTGTACGATAGGAAACTAATTTGGAGTATAGCGCACACCTTGTGGCTCAATTAGCACAAGATGATTAGTATTGCGTACTCGAATTTCTAAGAACTGTGGAAAACGTGTGATTACGGAAGGTCTTTAAAAATACATAGCAGAAGATTTGATCAAGCCAAATTTTTATCCGTCCGGCAGGTCCAGTGAGCTTTTTGGTGCGAACCTGATCTTACCGAATTTAACAGTTCAACAGTTTTAATAATTTATTGTAGTTATACCAAGCGCGAATCCAGTGGGGAGAGGCATGGGAATTTAGTTCGACCAGCCATCGCCAATATGACATAAATCTTGTGACCACCACTGCATCCCCATATAGACCACTTATCACTAGCTGTTAAAGAAGATAATGTCCGGTTTTGAAGGCCAAATGTCTGGCCAAATTCAGCGTTAAATAATAGGAAAGTGACTTTATTGGCAATCTTCCACATCGTAAGGAAGCTTAGCTTGATGGCTACTATCCCACTTAACTACTTAACTAAGTATCGACGAAACATTACAAAAAGTTTACACTCGCAACAAACATTTAACAGTTACAGAACAGTTATAAAAATATATTATTCACAAGTATAGCAAGCCAAAGAGAATATGTTATGCTGCAAATAAACTTCTTGGTTTGTTGGTAGTACTCATTGAATTGTATAACGGCATTGCATGTAAAAGATCTTTAATACAATGAAGTACGGTGAAGAGGAATACCGAACTGGTCACTATGGCGTACCCTTCTTGTAATTAGAGAAACTAGATCACTTGCTAAGCACATAGGTCTGCTGGTGATGATTATTTTATGTATAAAAGCTCACATAAAACTCAAAAAGTTGTTCGACCTCAACTCACAAATCATGGATGTAACACGGCTGTAGGTACGAAGACCGAAAACAAAACAACAGCAACAGTTCTGAATTTTTTTGCAATCTGGCTTTCCTTATGGAATCAAGACAAGGATAAAATACGATGAAGCATTTAATCAGTTTGGACATAACCAAACTCTCTACTAATTTCTTTCGAGTCTCTTGTATTTTAGGAGATGGCAACCCTTTGCAGACTGTAAGAACGTCTGTCACAATATCTATCCAGCACAATTAATTATAACATTACCATTTTGTCTGTTATTCCGATTTTTGAACTGCATAAGGTTAGTAGAATCGGGAAAAGCCTCCTCATGTAGATTGTTTTACGAAGTCAGGGCTAGGATGAGAGGCTGAAGTCAGGCTGGTCTGTAAATATTTTTGCCATCTTGCAAAGCGAGGAGTCGAGGTCCATTAGGGGTAATTGACCATTCTAGAGAAGACTTCAATTTTATAAGTTGATTGCATCTACGAAATCTGTGCATTCAAATATTTCAGAACTTTTGCATTTGAAGCTTCCATCAACACATTTAATCTTCCATTTTTTTTGATATATCAAAATTTTGGCATTTTTATCCAAAATTTTCATGTAATCACAAAATAAGCACAGCAGTTATGTTTGTTTTTTAACTCTCTTTTCTAGATGATATTTATTACAATGCTTATAGAGTTAGGAAATTTCCGTAATCATGAAATTACACACAAATATGGTATATGCATACCATTAAATAAACCCTGTAACTACGCCGCTGTACATACATACACGTTGTGGACCCAATGTTTTTAGGACTGCATCTGAATGAGAGTGATAGGGGAATATCCCTACTCTGTGTCCACCCACCTCTCCTCTTGCGCATTGCGCGGCTCACGAGAACGCGTACTAGCTCTTCGTTCATATAACGCAGACTTTTTCCTAAAAATTACCATTAACTGCTTTATTACAACATACAGTGAATATACTGGAGGCTCTTAAAACTACTTTTACCATCCTGGTAACTCCTTTCCCCGTTCTTGTTTATAAGACTGTGAATGTTCTTCTGTTTTCCCTTAAATTGAAGCCTCATCACCTGACGCCCTAATTTAATATATACTAAGTGATATATAAATCCGAACACCCAGTTTAAATGGTTTTATTTTAATAAAATTTTATATAAGTACTTAATGAAGCATAATAAGTAAATGATAAAAATTTCAAAACGATTGCACTGCTTTAAAGCCCTTTGACCTTTAATAATGTGTGGATGCACCCTGATGTTCTATGCATTCTCCAACGCGCCTAGGCATGCTTCTGATCAGGTGGTCAATTTCAATGTCAATGTCCTGTGGTATCTCATTCCAGGCAACCACCAACTCCTCTCGAAGTGCTTCTAGAGTCTGAGGAGGGCGTTGCAAATTGAGCAATCTCCTACCCATCATATCCCACACGTGCTCAATTGGGGATAAGTCGGGAGATCTTGGTGGCCATAGTAACAATGTGACATCATTATGTTGAAAGAAGTCTACTGTGACTCTTGCAACATGTGGTCGGGCATTATCTTGTTGGAAAGTTGGATCTGCCAGGGTGTCAAGATAGGGTAAAAGATGGGGTTCTAGAACTTCGTGGATATAACGCTGCGCGTTCATGTTACCTCTGATGAAGATTAAAGGTGACCTGGAACCATAAGCTATAGCACCCCAAACCATAACTCCAACAGTGTCATGAACATGTCTTTCAACAAAAAACTGTGGATTCCTCCTTTCAACACGTCGCCTTCTAACCCTGGCACGACCATCGTGCATGCCTAAACAAAATCGAGACTCGTCACTAAAGACAATACTGTTCCATTCCTGATCCCAAAGTGACCGTTGTCTGCACCACTCAAGGCGATTACGTCGGTGTTCTCGAGTTAAAGGGAGGACCCAGTGTGGCCGGTATGAAAACAAGCCAAAACTTCTCATTCATCGGTAAACACTTCGCATGCCAATAGGTCTTCCGTGTTCTGCAAACCATTCATTTGCAATGGACCTGGTAGTGGAGAAACGGTCCCTTAAGGCCAATAATCTTAGGCGGCGATCTTCACGGTCTGTTGTTCTACGGCGGCGTCCAGTGCCCCTTGCTCTTTGCGTACGGCCTTCTCGAAGCCATGCCTGACACAGTGTCTACACTTCTTTGCACTCTAACTGCAATTGCCCGGAAAGAAAGTCCAGCTTCCCGAAGTCCCACTATACGGCCCCTATCAAACTCACTAAGTTGACGAAATCGTACAGGTCTCCGTACTCTAGGCATCGTAACCGATCGTAAAGGATGTCAAGAACCAAAATCCGCCAACGTTGATTCTTTACTGCGGCTGAAATATTAATTTTTAGAGCGTTAGTGAATTAAAAAAAAGCAGTATAAAAACCGGAATGTCCAACTGATAGGGCTGAAAATTTTTTCACTTGTTATTTACAGTAAGATAAATACATTCACCAACTTATGTTAAAATAAAACCAATTAAACTGGGTGTTCGGATTTATATGTCACTTAGTATATATATAGTATTTAATTAAAAACAGACGAGCTTTGGCTTGCTTATTGCTTGACCAGAGATGCGGTAATGGCGGTTATCAACCAGTTTACACCTGATGTACGTACAAAAACTAATACAGGGAAAGTATTATGCGTACATAATTATAGGCAACCCAAATCCACGTCCCTCGTGTGCCCGACAGCTTAATACACATATGTTATGTATGATTGATGCTATGGGGAATAAAACTACATAGATTATATAGCAATATTAATGTTTTAGCTTCATGTTTGGTTCCAGCTATTTTCCGGTAAAATATCTATTATTCTAAAAATTCGTGGAAAATGGGTACGTTTTCGGTATTTATGGTAAATAAGGTCTCATTTCGGTAGAAATACCAAAAAGGCAGCTGTTGCAATATGAAATTTCGTTTAATACGTCGCGTTAATTCCGAAAATTTTAGTTGTTATTTATTATTGCTGTTTTATGCGGACAAACTCGCGGGTAATAGCTAGTCAGTAACAAAACAGCGGTCAGAATAAAAAAAAATAGGTAACAAATGAATACAAAATGGGAATCCAACCTTTGTCTCTACTGTGAGCGTAGTGACAGACATTGAGAAATTTGGTTTTAAAAAGTTAAATTTTAAAATAAAAAGACAAATTTAAAGTATATATTCTGTATATTCTGAAATATTTAAATCCGAAAGTTTCACACCACCCTCACACCTAAAAAATTTGGCATATATGTAGGGCGGAATGAAAACGTACCTATATAGAACCCCTAGAATAATAAATGGATTGTTCTTTGTAAAAAAACTCTCCCCGCAGATAAGTAGGTTTATTTAATGAAAATAAGAGCCAAAGGAAGTAAATCCAGGTTAACAAAATTCATCTTCTCAAAGGAATTTACATATAGAAGGTATATCGTAAGAAAAATCTCGTATGAAGGAAAGTATCCATAAAGCTGGTTATAAAACAAGAGGTACTGGAAATAAACGGGAAAAGGCTCATGCATTGTTACGACCAACCTTTAAGTACAAAAAATGCTGTGGGTAGTAGGTAAGTACAAGGTGAGTATTGGAGGCTTCTCACAGCACCTTTGAGTAGTACTAAGCTTGCCTTTAAGTTAAATACCGAGGTACCGTGACTGACTGTTATACAGGGTGACGGGAAAATAGGTGCGGAGCCGGTGGGGGGAGATAGTACAAGCCAATCTGGGTCGATTTTACTATAGGAACTACTGTCCGAAAATTAGCCGTTTTCCAATTATACCTACTACTTTTTTAACTTTTATAAAATTAACGTCCTTTATACGTTAACCAAGTCATAAAACTTGAAAATTGGGTGTTTCATTTGATTTTTTTTTATTGACGTTATCTAATGCAGTAAGCTTCAAAATACTTCGATTTTGGTTAAAAAAACCTTCGTTAACCTCGAACGGTTCAGTTTACGAGAAAAAGTCGCATACAAATTTTTCGTACAAAATAATTAGAAAACATCTACGCTTCATTACCTTTCAAATGAGGTACAAAAATCACAAATCGATTAAGAATTGGCAAAAATATTACTATGATAAGAGGAGGAAGGAAAAAGCAATAAAAATACTACACTTACAAAATCATACCTTAATACAGGATAATTTGTTTGAAACTAAATTTCTTTATTTTTATAATACATTTTCAATATGGCGCCCTCTATTTCTAATGCACACACGTGCTCTTCTTATGACAACTGATTTTACTACCGCCGAATTCCTAAGAGAGGCTTGAATTTCTTGTGCTGCATGTATTATCCTGTTTCTGAGGTCTTCTATTGAGGGTACAGGAATTTGATCAGAGTATGCTAAAGTTTTCATGCGACCCCACACAAAAAAGTCCCTAGGTGTGAGATCGGGGCTGCGTGCTGGCGATGGGATTGGTC